CTGTTTTAAAGACTGATTCGTACCTAGGCGTATGCCTTGGACCGGTTCAGATAAATCGCCACTGATGTGATAAGTCGTGGCTTAGGTTGCAAGGTTCACATTGTGCTAACCATTGCAGCACATCTACCGCCACCTTCCTCGCCCCCCGCAAAAGTAAAGGCACGGACACACGCGGACATACACAGGCACACATGACGCTTACGGACTCGAAGGGGTTGGTAGCGAAGTGTCGTGCTCACTGAGTTCGATTCCAAGGCGCGGCTCAACATCAGTGGCGAGTGATCAATGAACCAGGTGTCCCCCCCCCCATTCTCAAACCCACCCCCACCGCACGTTCTTCACCAGCATGGTGAAGTATGGTCAAACAACCCCGCATGACTGTCACGCGGTCAAAGGGAGCGAGGGAGGCCTCCATCCATCGGGGGCCAACAGTGTATGGACAAAGCGCTGCCGACGTTATTATTTGTCGTAAGCTGGCTCTCTGCGTCGCTCGCTCGTGAGCTTGAGCCACTGTGGCTGCTGGAGGTGACAAAGGAATCGAGGTGCCCTGCGCTTGAGTGGACACGGCGAGTAAGCGCATTGACTCGCCCTGGCACTGGGGGAGAGGCGCGGAGCTACCTCCTATCACTGTCGCGCGCGCGCGCGCTCAGAGTTAACGACCTGCGCGGATTGGCGCAACGGCTCTGTCTGGTATGCAGGTGGCTTCATTGTTTCACGAAGTGAAACACCCAAACGCCGCATCACCCATCCACCCACTCCTATCACCATCACAACCGTCATCCAGCTGCGGATATAGCAATAAAGAGCTGCAATTGAAAGGCGGCAGTTGCGCGCCTGTTAGCGCGTTGAGCTCATGAGCCCAGCTGGACGAGATACGTGATTTCGCTAAGATCAGTAGTTTGTAATCTGAAACTCCGGTCATGGCATCCCGGTCATTTACCGGCGCCCGCACTGATCAGGATTGGTGGTGAAGTATGGTCAAACGAAAGATTGGACCGGCATGACGTGGGTGGGAGGCCTTCATCGAGAGGTGGATGGACAAAGGGAAATGTGTTTTGTTCCATTCGACACGGGATCTCCAGGACATCATGTAAATGCTCTGCAGACTTTGGACGTAATTGATATCGAAGTGCGTTGCGTGATAATAATCGTAGTGATATTTGGCCTCTGTGTATCCAGCAAAGCATCGCTGATTCGAGAGACGATGTTTCCGGAGGGTACCTGCCCCATTGGGATTATTGGCCACTTCGCGTTTTAATGGAGCGTATGGCTTCATGTGCGAGGAAACACAGAGTAACCCAGATACAACTAAAATCCACCACGCATTTGTAAGCGTTAGTTGCAGAAATATATTATTAGTAATTGTAACGATGGGGGGGGGGCGGTGGGGGGGCTGCGGTCACTCCATCAACATTTACTGACGAGCGTGGTCAAATATGGTCTAATAACAGCGCGGGAAAGCTCTCATCCAACAGTGGATTGACAAGAGGAGGGTGTAGGAAATGGGGCGAACAAAGCATCGGAGGGACTGTTGGCAGGAAAGGCCACGACAACGCCACACGCTGTTGAGCACAGTTCTCGCAGTACATTGGTTAACCACAGACACGTGCATTTTTTAAGAGCGAGTTGCCAATGAGACAATGTACCGTCAAGTCTTTTGTGCAAGCTGCAACAACAACAATCCCTAAACGCCTTCTTTCCGCACAAGACATAAAAGCAAACAGCACCCAGCTGGTTAATACGTTTTTTTCGTGTATAATGGAATATAACTGACATGACCCCAGCCCTAATGTTAACCCTAAATCTAACCTCTAACCCTACATAATTAATGTGAATGGTCCGTGGCCTCTGACAGGGATTTTTTTGAAAGCCTAAGCGTTTGAAGTAAAAGTTTGACATCTACAAAACGAGGGTACGGAATGGATAGAGATAAACAATATATAACAGGTACCCACCACGTTATGGCTGATATCTGACTCACTCTGGTAGTAATTGATATTAAAATAACAGATCAGTGAAACGATAATGTGCGTTTTTATACTATCTCTGGGAGCAGAGTATAGGATCTCGACGTTTCTGCCGACTGGCTTTGTTCAAAAACATATTGAGACTTACCAGAACTCTTTAACATTCTCTCTACATTTCTAGATTTAAAGCTTTCGTGACTGCAAGGATCCATACTCTTTGGTTCTATTGAGTAAAGTCACGTAGGTAAAAAATAAAATAACAAAAATCACGACGTTTCGACCACAACACAAGCGGCCTTCATCAGGTGAAGGGACGAGACTGTCTGGAGGACAGCGCTGAGGACAGCGCTGAGGACAGCGCTGTCCTCCAGAGAGTCTCGTCCCTTCACCTGATGAAGGCCGCTTGTGTTGTGGCCGAAACGTCGTGATTTTTGTTATTTTATTTTTTACCTACGTGACTTTACCCAATAGAACCAAAGAGTATTCTCTCTACATGTAAAACTCAATGTTTTCTGAAAAGGACCAGGAGGCCTAAACGTTGACATTTTTGACAATTAGTATATTGTTATTCATTAACCATGTATTTTATGCAGCAGTTTCAAAGTAGTTCACAGATACAGCAACATAATATAATTGATTGACACCTATATCCTTAAAAGCCCAACATATTCGTCATTAACACTGCCGTAAAATAAATAAAAACATATATACACGAGGTGACCTTATGGGCAATGACCATTTGTCATAGAAGACCCAAAGGCCCCATTTCATATTTGCTATGAAGTAGGGCCATTGTCCAAAATGTTGCCGGCGATATGTTTTTTTGACAGTGTAATTGACGAATGTGTTGAGTTGTTTGTGTTGTTAATTGAGCTTGTGCACCACCGCCAACGCTGCAGCAGCAGCAGCAGCAGCACCAAACAATCTGTACAAAGAGACTCGAGAGCTAATAGCCCACATGTTGCGCGAGTGAAGGAAAGCAGTTGTGATTATTTGTCTTTGTTACAAATGCGCCTATCTTCGCCCCGCCTCAACCAGGCCCGAACCTCTGCCTACAACCCGCACACTGCCACCCGCCCACCCCCACGTTGCCGATACGTGCTGGCTGGTGGTCGCTTCTTCTCCTCTGCTACCCCTACGGTCCGAATCTCCCTCCCAATTCCTGTTTGATTGAACTGGTGACCCCTTAGATCAGTGGCTCTCAACATTTGTTGGCTGCTGTACCTCCTTGTTGAATTTTGTTTGAACCGAGTACCCCCCCCCCCCCCCCTTGCCTGACTCAACGTGGTTCTGAGGAATACATGTATGCATAGTGAACATCAACATTTTAACGTATTGTAACTGTGTCGCGTAATTTGTTCGTGCTCGCTGGTTACTCTTGGAAACCACATTGTTTACGATCAATGAGGCTAGAAAGGCCTTTTACATTGTTCGATGTTACCATATGGATTTAAGTGTTATCGAAGTCATTTATATTGGCAGATTCATACGTGATTATTCACCAATGACTCTCACGTACGATACCATTTCACGCATTTATAAGTCACCTCACGTACCCACTGGAACATTGCCACGTATCCCGAGAGGTCTGCGTACCCCCGGTTGAGAATCACTGCCTGAGACTACACGCAACTTAATTCGAGGACTAACTCACAGTCCATGCCGTATTTGACACTCATACCACAGAACACGGCAGACTACGTCATTGTCCCCCGATCCGACTTTCATGTACACGTTGATGATCCATGTGATGGTGGCGATGATGGCAATGATATTTGGCGATGGTGGTCATGGCGATGACGGTGATGATGTTGATTTTTTTGGATGATGATGATGATGACCATAATGCTGGGCGGTGGTGGCTATGCAAGTGGTCTATAATCCAGCACTTGGAAGCAGTAAAGATTGGAGGATCACACTAACGTTGTGAAACTCCTTTTCCCGTGGGCGTCGATGAAGTGCCACACCCTGGCTTGCCAGGAGAACGCAGTGCAGCAAGTGGACTAATCGCCATCTTTTTCCATCGTTACGGGGAGAAGGGTGGATAGAGCGTTGCCCCCTCGCGCGTGTGAATTTCCTCCGAGTGCTCCGGTTTCCTCCCGCACGTATAAACACGCGTCATTAATTGACAGACATCTTCGAATAAAACCCCAATGCAGGAACACAACTGAACAAAAAAAGAGTCACAAGGCTCAGTGTGGCTGGATAAATGAGTAATTATTATAATAATGTTTGTCAGTTTAACACGTAGGCTTTCGCGACCAATATTATTGATAATAAAGGTTTTTGGGTTAGATCGCGTTTATTTATAAATGTGTCGTAACCCTCCACCACCCGACACGGCCAATCAGCAAAAAAGTGTCACGTTGACAAAAGACAAATAATTCACTACTTTAGCCCACCGGTGTGTTGAAGAGTGAATTATTTGTCTTTTGTCAACGTGACACTTTTTTTGCTGATTGGCCGTGTGGGGTGGTGGAGGGTTACGACACATTTATAAATAAACGCGATCTAACCCAAAAACCTTTATTATGAATAATGTTTGTGTTCATGGAGCTTGCGACGGTGATTATGGTTTTGATTATGGCGACGACCACAATAATGGCAACAATGGTGACGATTATTACATTACTATTATCCTCATACCAAAAGACAAAGATCCCCCAGTATAGCCTTAACCGACTGTTGGGCAAGTGCTGTTAGCGAGCACCTTTAAAGGCTAGAATTGTGGGTAGCCAGCACCACGCCCGGCCGCCGTTGTATCCCTAGTGGAGACGTTTACGCACCGCACCAGGTACTAATTTGAGGTTGAGTCGACGTAGTGGAGGAGGCCCAGGACCGGTTCAGATAATCGTCACTGGTGTTGGCCGTGAGCGGCAATCGAACAGGGGTTTCCAGGTCCGTAGCGCAGCGCGCTAACCGATACACTACCGCTCCCCACGTACCACACACACACACACGTGGTCCACAACCCCAGCCACACGCCGCAATAATTCCCGTTTCTCGGTGGGTGCGAAGAAGCGGAGCACGCACCTGAGTCTCGGACAGGTTGAGCTGGCGCGCTAGCTCCGTGCGCTCCCTGCCCACCAGGTACTGGCAGCGCTGGAACTCGCACTCGAGTCGATAGAGCTGCTCGGCCGTGAAGGATGTGCGGGTCCTCTTGGGCCGCTCCAGGTCCAACCCCTTGGGCAGCACGAGTTCGCGGATGGCGCCCTTGGCGTCTGCAGTGCCGCCCCCGCGTGCGCCACGGCGACGCGGCGGCGAGAGAAGAGCGCGCGTCAGGGGCAGCAGTGCGTGCTCACGTGTGTGTGGGTGTGTGTGTGTGTGGGTGTGTGTGTGTGTGGGTGTGTGTGTGTGTGGGTGTGTGTGTGTGTGTGGGTGTGTGTGTGTGTGGGTGTGTGTGTGTGTGGGTGCGTGTGTGTGTGGGGGCGTGTGTGTGTGGGTGCGTGTGGTGTGTGTGTGTGGGTGCGTGCTCACGTGTGTGTGTGTGTGTGGGTGTGTGTGTGTGTGGGTGTGTGTGTGTGTGGGTGTGTGTGTGTGTGGGTGTGTGTGTGTGTGGGTGTGTGTGTGTGTGGGTGTGTGTGTGTGTGGGTGCGTGTGTGTGTGGGGGCGTGTGTGTGTGGGTGCGTGTGGTGTGTGTGTGTGGGTGTGTGTGTGGGTGCGTGCTCACGTGTGTGTGTGTGTGTGTGGGTGTGTGTGTGTGTGGGTGTGTGTGTGTGTGGGTGTGTGTGTGTGTGGGTGTGTGTGTGGGTGTGTGTGTGTGTGGGTGTGTGTGTGTTTGGGTGTGTGTGTGTGTGGGTGCGTGTGTGTGTGGGGGCGTGTGTGTGTGGGTGCGTGTGGTGTGTGTGTGTGTGTGGGGGTGTGTGTGGGTGCGTGCTCACGTGTGTGTGTGTGTGGGTGTGTGTGTGTGTGGGTGTGTGTGTGTGTGTGGGTGTGTGTGTGTGTGGGTGCGTGTGTGTGTGGGTGCGTGTGTGTGTGGGGGCGTGTGTGTGTGGGGGCGTGTGTGGGTGCGTGTGTGTGTGGGTGCGTGTGTGTGTGGGTGCGTGTGTGTGTGGGTGCGTGTGTGTGTGGGCGCGTGTGTGTGTAGGTGCGTGTGTGTGTGGGCGCGTGTGTGTGTGGGTGCGTGTGTGTGTGGGTGCGTGTGTGTGTGGGTGCGTGTGTGTGTGGGCGCGTGTGTGTGTAGGTGCGTGTGTGTGTGGGCGCGTGTGTGTGTAGGTGCGCGTGTGTGTAGGTGCGTGTGTGTGTGGGTGCGTGTGTGTGTGGGTGCGTGTGTGTGTGGGTGTGTGTGTGTGTGTGGGTGCGTGTGTGTGTGGGTGTGTGTGTGTGTGGGTGCGTGTGTGTGTGGGTGCGTGTGTGTGTGGGTGCGTGTGTGTGTGGGTGCGTGTGTGTGTGGGTGCGCGTGTGGGTAGGTGCGTGTGTGTGTGGGTGCGTGTGTGTAGGCGCGCGCGTGTGTAGGCGCGTGTGTGTGTAGGCGCGTGTGTGTGTGGGTGCGTGTGTGTGTGGGTGCGTGTGTGTGTGGGTGCGTGTGTGTGTGGGTGCTTGTGTGTGTGTGTGTGGGGAGCGGTAGTGTAGCGGTTAGCGCGCTGCGCTACGAACCTGGCGACCCTGGTTCGATTCCCGCTCACGGCTAACACCAATGACGATTATCTGAACCGGTCCTGGGCCTCCCCTAGGTCGACTCAGCCTCAAATGAGTACCTGGTGCGGTGTGTTAACATCGCCACTGGGGAGACAAAGGCGATCGGGCGTGGTTCTTGCCACCCACCCCCTCGTGTATCGTTCCGGCCTTCATAGGTGCTCGCTAACAGCACTTGCCCCAACAGTCTGTTACAGGTTATATGGAGAATCTTTGCCTTTACGTGTAAGGGGTGGCAAAACAACCTCGGCCTCCTCAGTGGCTGCAGATCGGTAACGCTGTGGTGGCTGTGAGCATTGCTATTGGGTGAAAGGACCTTCCTGGCGCAGTAAGCCTCTATACAGAAAACCACGAATTAAATATCAAACTAAGCTTGTGTAGAGGCCCGAGGAGGACAGGCGTCCATGACGTCTGGCTGATGAATAGCCTCCTGACACAGGTGCTAGCTAAAGTGACCCCACAGGGTGGAGTTATCATATTGGATGACTTTAATGTCCAAGCAGGTCATAAAATAGCCACCTGGGCTGGAGTGATTGGAAGGCATGGGCCAGATCAGCTCAATAATAGTAGGACACTGCTAGTCTTCTGTACAGGCCATGGGCTTGTAATCATCAATATGCCGTCCACACACCATCATAGATGCACGCCTCGTCCAAGCAAGAACATCTGCTTGACTACATAGTGATCGAACAACGGATGCAGGCCCTTGTCCTTGATACCAGAACCTCCCGTGGAGCTGGTTAGCCCAGTCATCATCGGCTTGTCATCTGTAAGATGCACCTGCCATTCTTCTACTGTGGTGTCCACCTAGGACCCCATTCAAACCCACTGTGGCCTGGTCTCAACTAGTTGATGAAAGTTGCAAGTGAGTATTCAGCTGGGGTTGGCATCGCCCCCCACCCCTTCTCCTGATGCTTAGAGCAAATGGGTGAGGTTTAGAACTATGTATTCTTCGGGTCTTTCGGTAAAGTCATGAAGATAGGTTTAAAGAAAATAACAAAAAATATAACAAAAAACGACGACGTTTCGATCACAACACAAGCGGTCGTCATCAGGAAAAGGGGGGTTAGCTTCGAAAGATAACTTTACGGAAAGACCCAAAGAATATGAATTCCTGCAGTCACGAAAGCTTTAAGTTTAGAACTATGGTTCATGCAGCCCAGAGTTCCACAGAAACCGTGAAAGATGGAGGTGTTCCGGTTAGCTCCCACCGATTACATCATCCCACGTCGAAGAATGAGGAGGCTTATGACAGCCTTGGCTCAGAGTTTCGTAGAGCCGTCCGGCTCTGCGAGGATGAGTGGTGGTGGTTTACAAGAGGAGGTGGTAAATGCTTCAGTAGATCACGACAACGATTAACTCTTTAATGACATCTAAAAGTAACTTGCAGCGCCATCCCTATTACCATGCTTAAGGGAAATAATAGTGATATGATCTCCGACCCCCAGGAACAACTCTGCAGGTTTTATGAGTATTTATGTGAGATCTTGGGGTAGGGCAAACCCCTAAGCTCAGATAACATCACGCGTTAAGGTGGGGATGTCCCTGCTGGGGCTGCAGTGTCTCAAATATTGGAATAAATAGCTGGCTGAGGTGTCATCTGTTCAGGAAGTACCAGGAGCGAGCCAGTGTTTGAGACCAGGAACATCGCCAGGCAGAGATGACCTCCCAAGCGAAATGCTGAGAGAGGGTGGCGTTTGTTTGCAGAGTGCCCTATATGACATCATTACACCAGTCTTCACCACAGGACAGGCTATGCAGGATTGGAAGGATGTCCTCCTTCTTAAAGAGGGGGACCGTACTGATTGTAACAACTACTGGAGCATCTCCCAGACATGCTCAGGAGAGGCGTGCAGAGCCCCAGTGGGATTTTAGGCCTGGGCAGTCCTGTATGGATGCCATATTTTCTGTCCGTCTGCTACAGCAGAGCTATAGGGAATTACAATGGGGCCTACATCTCTGCTTTATTGATCTGGTCAAGGCGTATGCTACGATCAATATGCCATGGCTGTGGGTTGTTCTGCGTGCTTTCAGGGTCCATGATTCTGCTCACAATCAATAAAAAACTTTATGATGCGAGCAGACCCAGTAAAGCTGGTTGGCTGGGAGTCCCACACATTCCCTGTTTACCTTGGGGTGCGACAGGGATGTCATCAGGCTCCTAAACTAATTAATACATTTTTCAACCACGTAGTTCGAGAAACATTCCATGGCTGTAGCAGAGGACTTTTTATTTTATTTGGTACAGACATAGTGGGAGGCTGATCGATGCCCGGGTGCAGTCCAGGGATGGTTCCCTATTGGTCAACCATGTTATGTATGCTGATGATCTGGTGATTGCTGCTCACTCTGAGAATTAGTTGGAGGCTCTGCTGCTAAACCTGGAGCGAGTCACGAAGAGATGGGGCTTTAATATCAACCCCACCAACACGAAGCACCTGCGTGGATATTTTGTGTCATCAAATGCTCCACTCTTTCAACTCCCAATGAGTTATGGAACAGTTGTGGAGAGAGTGGACAAGTGTCCTTACCTGGGCAGTGTCCTTTTGACTAGCTCTTGTTTGGCAGCAGAGATCGTACTCCGAATCAGTTGAGCAGCATTATGTTTGCATCAGCTTCGTAACTCAGCGTGGAAACTACCTGGCCTATTGCTTCACGCAAAGTTTTGGGTCTACTTGGTCACAGTTATGCCCTCCTATCTATATGCTTGCAAAACGTGCCAGTTTTAAACATTCAGGCTGGCCTGCCGACGATCCATCCTGGCTTTAAACAGGCCGGATTGTGTGAGGAGCTTACAAATCCTTGGACATTGTCCCATCAGTGAGCTGCTCCGGCAAGAGAGGCTGCGTTGGCTGGGTCATGTTGTCCGCATGCCCAGCCACTGTATACCCAAGCAGCTTATGTTTGGCCAGATAGAGGGTGCTAAACGGGCGCGGCACGGGCTGGAGAAGAGATTGATTGATGTGTACAGGAGGATGTGGAGCTGATTAGACCTGCCGATGACTGGTATCAGCGGTGTAAAAATCGGCTTCTATCGAGGAGGCTTCGTGAAGGACATTACTGGTCAGTTAGAGGCAGTCACCCTCCAACAATAGCGGAGGGTAGAGAAGTGGCACTCACAACAACGAGCGGAGGGCCGTGCGGCTAGATATCGCGAGTTCGCACAGTGGGGAGTACAGTTGGTGCACATATAAGTCATCTCAGTCAGCCGACCCATGGCACCTAGGGTCTGGCCCGTGACCTCCTGCCATCGAGCACTCGACATTTCACGTGGCCTTAAAGCGCACCTAGCCTGGCACACGCGCCGTGGTGACTTCGTCGCCACTTAGTGGCGAATGACAGCTGCTGTTGTGATGTGAGTGTGAGCGAAGAAGTGTTAGTGTTGAGTGTGTATGTGTGGTAAAGGGGGGGGGGGGGGGGGTCTGCTTGTGTAAACATGAGGGCGTGTCCGAGTGAGGGTGTGGATGTGTATGAGTGTAGGTGAGTGTATGTGGGTAACGTAGGGGGCACAGGTGGTGCAACGAGCCAGTCATCTCAATCAGTCCACCCATGGCGACCTGGGTCTGCCCCGTGACCTCTTGCCGGC